GCAGAAGTAGTTTGCAATTGATAGGACCCAGCACTTGAATTCACTGCCGTAAACCATTCTTCAAAAATAGAAGACTGACTCCGTAATAAATCCAAGAAACTCCCATAAGGAGTACCATGTCCACTCAAAGAATTTTTGAAGTCCTCGAAAGAAATAGAAGTTGGCCAATAAAGGCCCACCGGGGCACCGCATCCATCAGGAATCAGAAGGATCTTGGAAAAATCCCCAACCAGCATTGCAGGCTTTGTTGCCTGAACAAAGTCCTGCTGCGACGCTGGCATTTTCAACCTTGTTCGCCCACTGAGGGAAACCACCAGACTATGAGTAGGGACACTCATATCTCCCTGCCAGTATTGCTGGATCAAAGTGGGATCAAAGCAATCAGACCACTTTGGGGCCCCGCGATGGACAGCATCTTGCCCATTGAAAGTAGTACTAACAGGACTAGCGCCAAATCCAATAACCGGAGGAGAATTCGGAGTAAAAAATACTCCAAGGACTGCTCCGACGCGAGACGAGTTCAAGAGCCGCAACTTGTCTGTAGAGAGCATCTGAGGTGCATTAAAACGGATAGCATCAGCAGAAATGGTCGCTGCTGTCACTGATTCCTTGCGACCCCGACCATACCCGTAGGAACGGCAAACCCAAAAGACGCTTGAATTTCCGATTTCTTGGGTCTCTTCTTGTCATGGATCGCTTGATGAATTGAATCATCTGAAAAGCAGATGCTGACAGAAGAGAGAAACTGAGTTCCCATCTGGGGACTTTCAGGACCAAGCAACTTGGGGAAGGATGTCATTTTCGAAGGATGACAGGTGCACAGAACGCGATTTCGTTGTTTCAACAATGCCTCGGAGCGGTGGAAGGCGAATAGAAGATCAAGACAATCCGATCAGCTCTTATAGGAGGGATGTTGGAAGTTGTTAGCTGCACGTCACGCTGGCCGATCGCAATGAATGAGGGCGGCGTGTAAGGAGCTGGAGTTTTTCGTTCGCTTGCAGACAAAGGCTGGGTACCAAGAGAAAAATTGAATTACCGCGACACAAGTGGGTGAATTCAATCTCAGTCGATAAACTGGGCATCATTGCCTGGGCGCATCGACAACAACTTTTGACGGTCGAAGGCCGTTCGGCCTTTGTCCGTCTGTAACACAATGTAGTCAAAGAAATCGAACAGTGTGCCTGCGGTCTACGTTGGAATAATAGAATTTACAGCCGGATATATATAAAAAAGTATTTACAAGAAGCCGCTGGATTAGTCCTATATGATCGCGCAGTCAAGAGATACTTAGTTTGAAAAGCATCCATCGATCGCACCTCGGATGTAGGAAATTGATTCTTCAGCTCAACAGAGATATTGGTGGGATGTACAGTTGTCTATACCAAAACGTCAAAAGCCAGATGTGAAGAAATCTGCTATATCCAAGGGGCGATCAGAGCAAATGACTTCTGTCTCGCAAGTCTCCCCAAAGTGGTATGCACAATTCTTCTTCGACACCAACTCAGTTTCACCCTCCCCGTGCAAAGCTTTACCATTCGCGTACACCTCAAAGCTTCCAGGGTTTGCAATACCATCGCCAAAGGTGTCCTCAAAATATATCACTCCACATTCATTCACCGGCAAACAGCTAACGTATCTATATTCTTCCAAGTGGTCAAAGGAGCCGCTTTGGACATGGTGCCAATCGAAATGGCCAGTGTCATTCAACACCTCATACCCGTTCGCTTCCTTTTTCAAATCGCCCCACTCAAAATATGGATGCACCTGTGATGCCTGCACCAGAGTATCATGGAAAAAATCCAATTCTGTCACCAAAAAGTGGATTTCATGCGCATGAGAGTCTGTTTTCAGATCGATCCACACTTTGGTTCCGCCGTCTGGACAGTATAGAATACCGTAGCAATCTTCCTCATGCTTGTCGTCACATTCACAATGAAGATTTGCAGATGGCACAAAGAGCTCTTCCATCTCAGTCAGTTGCTGGTAAGTAGCATTCTTGGCGCTACCAGCTTCCAACACGGCTGGAATTCCGTCGATTTGGGCAAATAGATTCTGTTTGACGATGTGCGGCTTGGAAGCCCTCCCATGACCTTCCGCGACATACCAGCGCAGATCATCGGTCGGCACCCAGGTATCGGTAGTTGTTCTGAGATCCAATGGGTCACTGATCAGATGCACGGTGTAATTGGAAGCGTACAGATCAAAAGATCGGAGGCACTCAGTGCGACATTGAGCGTCAATGGAAGTTCGACTGCACCCAGATATGCAATCGAGATGCAACTCTCGTTCCCTGATGGCCAGCCACCGTCTTCCACTGAAAATAATGTATTCCCCGTTGACTTCATTCTCCAGCAGCTCTGCATCTGCATAGTACACGGGACGATCTCCAATGAAAATATCCAAGCGCTCATAGATTGGAAAGGTGAAGACGAACCCTTCAGACCCTAGATCTTTGCAATTCAACTCGACATGCTCAACGGGAACAAAAGAGGCCAAAAACTCCATCGTCTCGAGAACTCCATCCTTCGAGATGTTCTTCTCGTCCTTTGCGAACCAGAGATCGGTAGAATGTGTCAAGATGTCGTAAGCATCAATGTTCGCTGAGTTAGCTTTGAAAGACCTCAGCGTCCATCGATCACAAGGGTACATCATGTCATCTCCTACTGCAAGCACCCAGCTTTCGCCACAGTAGAAGAATGCCGCGTGCTCATTTTTCCAGTTGTCTTCACACCGATCTGTTGGTAGCTTCGTGTAGATGATTCGCCCAACACTTGAATCGGTTCTATCTCTCACATCGCTATAATCGGAAAGATAGCAACCAAAATACATTCCAGACAACGTTGAAAGCCATGGAATGGCATCGTCGTGCAGCTGGATATAAACCTCATTGTCTCCAAATATGCGATTGTCCTGCATTATTCGGATCAGAGCATAACACCCCATCAAAACCAAGAGTACAACGAAAAGTGGCCACTTTCGTAGCCACTTGTGCTTATCCTTTGGGGTGTACTTCACCTCTGCAACAACGCTTGCCGTGTCCTTCATGGCCCTTCCAAAGAAACCTCTCCAAGCCAACACAAACGCTGCGTCATCGAGGCTGGCTACGAATTCCATGGCGGTGAAATTCAGCAACAGGTCCACGACTTCTTCAGATTGCATAATGATTACGAAGGTAACAAATATTCCAAAGATACCGACGTTGACTTGTGTCAAGGCTGCGAGGTAGTACTTGTATACTGTCACTCCTGGTACCCCACGGATATACTTAAAGCTTTGTACAAAGAGATCGAGACCCTGGAAAATGTTGTTTTGTGTGTACACAGTGATCACAACAGCAATCAACTGGTAGTACATAGATTTAGTTATGTGGAGAAAGCGAACAGAATCACGGTGTCGTCGTCAACTTACCTCAGCAGTGCGAGTAAAGGGATCTACATTGACAGGTATTTTGAGTGGGTTTTTGGGATTGGTGATATCTATTGCATTGCTGAATTGAGAGTCGTAGAATCATTGATGAGCATATTCGCAAGATCCTTGAAAAAAAGCGGCAAACTTACTATAAGGCAAGAGTGTACACCCCGGCTTGCAATACCACAATGCCCAATGAGAACCAAAATGGTAGGCACATATAGTCACGAGACCGATGCGTTGTTCTGAGGACATTTCCTTGTTGGCTGCATTCTATAGCATCCTCAGGTGGATTGTGCCCACACAATGGCCATTTTGCGAGCAAGAGGAACGAGACTGTACTGTGTGGAAAGGCCCTAACCTCGTCTTCGTCGTCTTCGTCATCGTCCATTGGGTCCAAGTCCATCCGAAATGACATCGAACTTGTAAAAACAGGGGCTGCTTTGAGGGAAGGCCTCGGCTTTGATGATCTTTTTCGCATTCCTTGATCTTCACATCGTTTCAGCCGTGTCTCCATATTCAACATTTTCTCTTGCAAGTTTGTGGCAAGCATTTGCAGATCCTGTCCGTCTAGATGAGGCTTGCCATTGTACACAGTGCTCTCTTCGTCATTGTACGTGGCGCTTTCTTCATCGAGCACTAAATCATCCAAGCGACTGCTTTCCTCGTCGAGGGACATCGTCTCAGATTTTCTGGTTGAATTGTTTGTTTGAAGTTGGTGTCTATTGGTTTGCTTCTTTCATTGCAATTTTTCTGTGAATACTAGTACCGGTGCCAGTATCATCTTCTGTACATATAATAAGTAGAGGTACACACACCATCTAATATGCTTTTTGAGTACCGGGTGGGAACCCATGTATATATCATCTTCATAAGATTCAATGTACCGGTAGCACTTTCACTTCTCCAGCAGCTGTGGATATTTCTTTGATTTAGACATTTAACAAGAATACTCTTGCTCAGAAATCCCGCTTTGCAGGATCTTACATGCATATTCAATATCTCTGGACCCGTATTGACCTATTTACCTCCGGGTGTTTTACAGATTTTATGCGACTTTCTTTTTTCGCAATGTTGGAGCATGCAGTGACGATCACAACCAGATGAAGCCTAGAGGGCACACTAGGTTGCTGATCCTTTTGTTTCTTACCACTTTTTCACTACTTCGGTCGTTCGGAAACCCGTTGTCTTTGCTAAGAGAAAAAGCAGCCGTCCATTACTTGCCTGTCTCAAGTTTACTATCAACAAAAAATGGTCACCTGAAAACATCATCTGACAGAACTGTATGGATACTCATCACAGGAGTCTTGGGAGATCTAGAACTTGACAGCAAGATTGAATACATTATTCGCCCTCTTCAAGCCTTAAAATATGATATTAGGGTACTGTTGCTACTCCAGTCAGACTTGACGCACAAACGCTTCCCACCCTTTCGAGAACCCTACTCTTTTGTCCAACCTTCCAACTTCAAAGAAGGCGTCAATACTGCTTCCTTGACCCCCACAGCTTCTCGTTTTTACAAGTTTCCACTAGGAACTCAAACTGCTGTCGTGAAGCATAAGCAAACTGCAAACCTGATTCAGCAGCGACCGAGACACTTTGAAACTGCCAACGATATTCTCGAAAAACTCGACAACCTCACTTCAACTTTTGTCAAAGTACAAGAGCCCTTGGTCAACCTGCCCATGAATATCGAATATATTCGTGCCTTGGCACTTCGCGATGGGCGCAATGTAAAGGGACTAATGAATCGCAGTGCTCTCGGTCGGATCATTTGGCGGGCCGTCAATGATTTTCGTCAATTACAACTATGGCAACAGGCCTGGGAAATTATCTCACAACAAGATGACGATACTACAAGCACCCAAGGTGACATGCAGGGAACCGTCATCAGACTAGGCGAAGATTCAATTGTAAATAAGACATTTGACATTGGATCCATAATCAACGGATTGCAATCGCAAGGTCGAATGGCGATGATCCCGTGTGAAACCGCACGCGGCCACAAGAACGATCGAGTGGATTTCTTTTCGGCAATGGTGGCCAAGACTGTCTTAAAACTGCCGTTTGCGGCATTGTATCAAACTGGTAGATTTTCAGCCACCGATCAGGGAAGCAACAGCACTGATCCGCTGTCAAGCTATCTTTTGTCATTGTATCAGAGACAAAATATCGCTGTGTCGGTCGCTTCCAAAGAAAATCCCAGAGACTGGACTCCACTTGCTTCTCCTTCTGCTCCCGAAACCGGAGGTTTGTCCAGGAATGAGACGACGAAACCTCCATTTCAGTTTCCACTTTCCACCAATGCCTTGGGTAAAACGAATGCAAGAAGTATGCCTAGGAATGCAACAACGAGCAAAAAGCCCAGGATATTCGTCTGCATCACTGGGCAGCTACATCGATTGGAACTGAAGCAAAAGTTCAAAACAGTTATTCAGCCCATGGAAAAGGCTGGCTATAGTGTTGATCTGGCCATGGTTTTGTCATCAGGAGAGGCAATATATCAATTGCGAAAAGTGAAGAGAACGAGTAAAGCACCTTCCACCTTTTCGTCGCCAAAAGAAGTGCTTGATTATATGAGCAAGAGGGCACATGTCCTCAATCCTCAGAATATTACCTATATCAAGCCATTGAATCATCCAGTGAATCCACAGTATTTGTATCATCGAGCAGTCTTGAAGAAGACGAGCTCGATGAAAACACGCCAAACTTTTCATGCCAAATGGTCCAATATTGAAGAAGCCTTGCAACGGAGCATGGCAAATACCATCATGATGGAGAGTTACACTCGATGCTGGGACTGGGCGAAACAAAGTGGTCATTCTTACAAGTGGTATGTACGGATCCGCGACGATATTGCTTTCCAGAAACCTTTGATTCCGAAAAAGACCTTTGACAAAATCGAAGACAAGAATTCCCTCTTTTCGTCCACGGCAGATGCTAACGGGGGCATCAATGACCGCATGGCTATTGTGGGCCCAAAAGCCGCCGAGTGTTATTTCAACATCCCCTACATCAAATTGTTCGATGGAAGTTATTTGGACGATGCGATGACCAACACGGAAACCTTCTTCAATCGACAATACTGGGCCAACAAATGCGGCGATCGTAAAACATTTCGTTTCAAACCTAGAAAGATTCACAACGGGAAATTCATTGACTGAGGGGGGGCTACTTTGGTTTCTAGACAGTGGGGACAGCATAAATAGCTCTTCTATTATCTATTCGTTTCTATTTGACTGTGAGTCAGTCTCTTGCTTTTATACAAAAATGCTTCAGCTACATGGCCCATTGGAAGGGAAGCATCGACGTCCACGTTCATTGCTAGCCCATACCATTCCAGATCCGTCTCGGAACCGGATCATAGGGTACTCCAGGAGTCGCTTGTGTTCGTCTCGCGCTAGCTGCTTTCGATCCATTTGAGCATATGTCTCATTGTCTTCGTGATGATCAAAGCCGCAAAAGAACCACCAATAGCCGTCTCGACAAGGAAATCTTCCGGTACCAAACTCTTTTGTTCGTCCTGGTAACACATCTCCTCCATCACAGCATGCATCAGCAAATGAACCATGCCGGCCAAAGTGCGACAGTGGGTCCAGCGTAGAGATATTGGAAAAAGGATGAATATCTTTAGGAAGGAACATGCCTGGATGTTCCTTGAAGGTCGTCGGAAAGTCTGCTTGATGCGGCACCGGGTTGATCCTGTGTGGGTAAAAGGAGTGTCCCTGATCCAACTGATGGCGGATGGAAGGCAGCAACCAAGGTTTGGTATTCAGAATTGTGTCTGGCTCACTCAAGTAAACATATTTCCAATACTTGGTGATATCCGCATGATTCTGACCCAGCCATGCCAGAGTCATGGTGGCATTCAATTCACCCTTCAATGCTTTCTGCATGCCAACAATACTCCCACGAACCATGCTGACAGGAACATGTCTCGTGAAGACCCATTTCTCGTCGTAAATTCGAGTGTAGGCCACTTCTGTGGTGCCATTTAATGCCAATTGAAACGCATGAATACCCTCTTGTAGAATCGTAGCAGAACCATTGGTGGACGGAGCTTCGTCAGGAAAGGCATTGTGAATCAGTTCAAAGGCTCCTCGAACACCAAGCTCGTCCTCGTCTCGGTATCCCACAACGATTATCCGGCCAAAGCCCACTTGATACAAGGAAGCAATAGTAACAGCCAAGGAATACGTTGTGAGTAAATCGGCACGTTCCTGAAGTTTTCTCGCTTCCTCGTCGCTCAGGGTTTCCATTGCATCCTTGTCGACTGCTGCTATCATGGGCTGAAATGCAATCATGGCAATAGTTCGCTTCATGACAATATCGCCTTGGTGTTTATGAACTTTATCATATGCTGAATACAGTGACTTCCTCCTCTTGGCAAGCCGCATGTAAGAGTAGAGGTTTAAGATAACTTCTTCCAACATGCCTTCGTCCTCATTGCGAGTTAAATTGAATAGACTCCAGATGTTTGACAAGTGCTCCACGGAGAAATCGGTCCAATCCTTTGTCATGCTCGGCCGTGTCGCAGTTTGAATCCCAGCAACATCTGGCGGGGGCTTGAGCTGCAAGAAGTTCTTCGTGCTAGTCATCCACTGTGATGAGTCAGTCAGGGCCAGTGAGTCAACAAAAAGCGCAAGTTAGTGGTGAAATGAGAAGAATAAACAAAACATCAAGATTTCGTGGCACCTACATTATCTGCCATGTAGTCGCTCAGATGTAAACCATTTATATCAATCAAATTCAATGGCAAATATCGAAGAAGACTGCCAACACTCTGATTGGAGGCGACTGGTGGTGTCGTCACTTCTTCCATTTGATAATGAACTCGCCGACTTAATTGAAGAAAGTCTAGCCGAAGATGTTTTGTTTCGTTGCTCTTCTTCTTTAATTTGGCAAGTAACTCCTCGTTCGTCCTGAGTAATTCCTCATTGGTCTTCTGCATTATCTTCATTCGTTTCTCGTGGTCTTTTGTTTGGTTTGACATTGCCAGGGATTCGGGACAAAACACATGTGCAGCCGAATAAGGCGACGACAAGGTCGCCATTTGCATGGATAGACTTTCAGCATAAGAATTCCAAAAGGTATAGGATGAAAATATGACATACAGAAAGAAGGTTGCAAAGATGAACCGACCCGACAAAAATGGTTTGGTTTCCTGCCCCCTCGAATTTGATCGCGGTCTACTCAATTCATGGCTTGTCGGCGGGCTCATGACAACAAATTTGTGTACGATGGGAGGTGTGCCACTTTCAACCCCCCTTCACGCCGGCGTCAGATTGTACTTGTAACACTGTCGTGGATCTTTGTCATCGAAATTATTGGGATGTTCCCAAAATATCTCGGAATTCGGATTTTGATATGTAAAGGAGAAACAGAGAAAGGAGATGGCATCTATGGTGGACAGTATTCCAACTTTGGAAATATGAGACGGCATACATGTAGCAACCTGGAAACTCAATATACATAAGTATGTGTCTAAAGAAAGGAAGATATGTTTCATGCCCTGGTCATATGCACGACAGAGCAGTCTATTCTGTTGGCTTGTTGAAGCGAATCTGAACCCCAATTAATTAACGTCGAAGTGAAGCATACCTGCTCAACCCAAAGTTGGGGTTACCAGTTTTTCGTATTTACCAAAAGTTGGGGCCACTTTCCACTCATCTTCTGTCTGCTTTTTATTGCTACTAAATGCGCTGATTTATCACTCTACTCACATAATTTCCAACTCTCGATCTCCGTACCCCAGCTCTTTCTTGTGTTGATCAAACAGATCCTTCAATGCCTTACAGAATTGATCATGAGCAGCGTCCAATTCTTCAGATGTTGGAGAAAGTTTGTCTTTCACCGTAAAGGACAACGGTTCTCCATACACAACAGTGGTTGGGACTGCAAATGGGCAAAATATGGAGCCATACAACCCAACTGCCATAGGGATGCAAATTCCCATGCTCTTTTGCAGCCACAATCTTGGTTGAAATAGAATACTGGAGGTGTAGTAATAGTCGTTTACACCAAACAGATAGGATGGCACGACGGGAATCCCATGTTTCAATGCCAACTTGATAAAACCTTTGCGACGTTTCAAATACACCCTCTCCTTTTGATAGATGGTCCGAATCTGTTCGGCTTCTCCACCGGGTAGAACTAGAATCGATCGACCCATGGAAATCGCCTTTTCTGCGACGGACTTTCTAGCGTCGACACAACCCGTCCACAAGGCCAGTTCACGTACCAATGGAATGGCAAAGAGCACAGAAGCCGTCAGGACGACAACCTTGTCATGAACATTAGGGAAAACTTCGCGCATCATTCCATCCATAGCAACTCGATATTCTGATGCAACACCATGTGGGAATGTTGCAATCAGAAACTGAGCGTCGGGTTTGCCTTCGGCTTGGACCAATTTCTTGGGAGGTGGTGCAAAGCGTAGGGTCAAATGCTTTCGCATCGTGTGAAGTACCGCAAAGTCTTTGCTGAAACTCTGCCACCGCATTCCAGTTGCCATGAATTCAGCGGGAGCCAAGATTTTGATGTAACTGTAGTAGGGTATGATAAAGCCAAGCAGCGTTTGTGTGGGATAATACCACAGTCCTGCAATGAGGCTCAGATTGAACGAGATGATGATAGCAAAGAGAGAGTTGAAAACAACATAGCTCCAAATTTGATGTGCCGTAGAAGTCTCAAAGCTCATTTTCGTGTAGATGCAGATAGGACCAGTAATGTGAGGGAGAAGCAGAGCAGATGTGTCTGCGGTTGCAAGTTGTTGGTAATTTGAAATTGGGCTGTGATGATGAGAGAATTCGTGAAGAAATGACGTGTATAAAGAGGGGAGAGAACTGGAGTATAGTGAAGGAGGGGAAATTCTCTTCTCCCTTTTGTGCGGGACTGAGTGAGTTGAGTCAGTCAGTCATCCAAAATTTCTGACACCCACCAACATCGTCATTACAATACTCGCAGATGAAATCATCATTAACTCATCATCCTCTCCAGCAATCCATAGATCATCAAACAGACGCATACGAAAATGGTGCAATTCCATCTGATCCCATTCACGTGTTTTCTGTCAATGCAACTTGCACTTTCGGGTGATGTTGTCAGCGCTTTCTCTGTGCCAAAACAAACAACCTTGACGACGCGACACCAAAACGTGAAACGAGATGCAACCTCACCAATAAATTCCAAGCAATCATCATTCTCGAAATCTGATTCAGAATCTTCAAGAGTAATTGCATCCTTTCTACTCGGGGCCACTCTGTCCTTCATGGGTATGGTCAGTCAACCTCTTCCCTCCGTGGCAGCATCCACCACAATTATGGATCCAATGCCCGGTGATGTTCAGGGCGTTGGAGCCGTCACGCAGTCCAAACTAGGTCAGTCCGTACGAGGAGCAGTCATTGGAGGTGCCCAAATTGCCGATTCTTTGGATTTGCAGTGGGAACGCTTCAGCGACAAGTTGCGGGACGAAAGCAAGTGCGATCCTCGGACCAATCGACGCATGTTTGACAATGGCACTCGCCGAGATGGGACGAAAATTGGAAATCCAGTGTTGGGGGCACTTTGTACACCGGAGCCTCTAAAGGCGGTGGATGATTCTGTGGTCGCAGTTGTCACCAAATTGGCTGAAGACGCCATGCTGGAAATATCAAATTTGGATCGATCGAAATTAAAAGAAGCGGAGCAAAGAGTGGCCGACAAAGTTCGACCCGCGTTTGCCAGAGCTGCCGCTTCCACTTCCTCAATAGAAACTTCCAATTCTGCTGATGCGGATCCAGAACTAGTACAAAAGCAAAAACGACAGGAATTCAACAGAGATCTGTATGTACAAATGCGGACCTACGGAGAGGTATTGACATTTCAATCGTCGGCATCCACCCCAAAATCCAAAAGCAGCGTTATCTCGCAACAGTTTGAAACCTCGTGGGGGAGAAAAATGCTGCAAGAGCTTGCACCAAACGCCAATCGCAAGGATTATTCATCGCCCTTTCCAAAGCCAGATCCAACCGACGAACAACCATATGATGAAGCTTCCCTCTTGGACGCACTTGGTGGCATCAGTGTCGTTCTCAACAAGCTTCAGGCAGCCGGAATAGTGGGACACTGGGAGATTAGTATACCAGAAGATGACTTTTGGAATGTGGTGACCATTGCAGTGGACGATGATGTTTCCATTGGTGGGGAAATCTTGGCCCGAGAGAGCAAACTTCCGTTGAGTGGTTCTCCTGTTGTGGGACTTGTCAAAGCGGCTATGGAAGGAACTAGGATACCTTATAAGATTGACACCTTCTTCATTGACCCCACAACTACCAAACAAGAGCTGTACAATCCATCTCAACTTTTGGTGAGCTTGGGTGACCTCGGGCAGTGAAAATATTTCTAACGATGTCAGTGACGGAGCGTTTCTTTACCATTTATCGTATTATGGTTTTTGTGCTCGAGCACGTTTTATAATTGATTATTCTCCTACGCCAATCAAATCGTGCGAAACAGCTTACAATTAACGATTAGACCATAATCATAAATATGTACCGCACAAAAAGTCGGTGGCGAAGAATGCATTTCCTCCTTTTGTTCGGAATTGTTCTGCAAACAGTCCTACCCTGGTATTCATCATACCGGTACGCAACTGTGGTGGTTGAAAAACTACAGTATAACATCGACCACTTCACAAGTCTACACCATGACCCTTTCACGACCTACCTGTAGCTACCTTCTAATATCATTTGTCGCGATCGCAAAATGTTTCTCAGCTTCAGATGCTCAAATATTGAATACGTTTGAGGAATTCCACAGCCTCCGAAACGGTGCCACTGACATAACACGGGTACAGAGCATAGATGTGGTGAAAGCAGCAGATGAATCAACAACACCAATATGCAATCTCGCCATGATGATGCCCTTCTTTGACCTTAGACCCGGCCGGATACGACTGCTAGAAAATGGAGTCTTTCAGGCCATGGCTGCTGTCATGCTCGCGATTGAGCACTTGAATACAGGCAATGGGACCCTGGTGGCAGAAGTGGAAGGATTAGATCAACGATGCCCAATCAAGTTCAACCTGGAATCATTTGACAGTGGATTATATGAAGTCGAGACTGTCAACCACGTGATTACACTGGTTTCAAGACAGCCTGGGATAGAACGAGTCCCATGTGCTTTTCTTGGGGCCGCCCGATCCGCGGTTTCGATACCGTCTGCTACAATATCTAGCTTGAAAGGATTTCCGCAAATATCTCCAATATCCACCAGTTCTAAGTTGGACAATCCCAGATCTTTCCCCCTGTTTGGACGAACCATTCCATCTGATTCTGGTACCTCTGTACCTGCGATTTTGTATCTGCGGAATAAGCTGGGTGTCAAGAACCTAGTCATCATGTATGTAACCGATGCCTACGGAGATGCATATGCACAGGGGCTGCGAAAGGCGGCTGAAAAGTATGCGCCAGATATGAAGATTCAGACGGTGGAGTTTCCATTTGAAATCACTCCAGAAATTGTGACAAGAACTGTGAAACGAGTGAAAGAAACAAAGTACCACTACGTTTTCTCCATCATGTTCAGCACTGCTCACTATGATGCATTCATGACAGAAGCATATGACCAAGGTATTGCAGGTGACGGCGATCACTTCTGGATGTTTTCTGACTCGGTTTCCACCAGTATTTTTGAAAGGACATTTGAAATTGGCTCGCCACTTCACCTGGCTTCCAAAGGATGCTCTAGAATCAGTGCCGTCGCTGGTATCGAAGGTGACGAGCGGTACGACGCATTCATTCAAAGTATGGCTGATCTGAACAATCCAAACGACATTGCCTTGCTTCAATCTGTACACCCACAGCCGCCTGAAGGATTTGATCCAATTCAAATCGCGGACGACACTCAAACCTTCTTTGCCAAAACTAACGCAGCTGTAGTGGCCTTCATCTATGATGCTACAATCGCTCTGGGATTATCAGCCTGTCAAGCGGGTGGACAAAATGAAGCCTTTTTCGACGGCCAACAACTTTACGACGAGTTTTTGAAGTGTGACTTTTTGGGTGTGACAGGAAACAACACCTATGACCAAGTCACAGGAACAAGAGTGACAGAATCGGCACGTTTCTCGTTGCTCAATGTTGTGGAAGAGGAACCTGAAATAGAAGGAGAAAACACAGTCAGACTGAAAGCAGTGGTCAGTGATGCATTCCCGAACGGTTCATGGGAAGAAGTCGTACCAATTAGATTCAATGATGGAAGTACGATTCCCCCACCAGACTTGCCACCTGTGGAAATGGATATGAACTACATTGGCTGGGCATTGCGGCTCACTGGTTGGTTATCAGCTGTGTTTATTTTCATTTCTACGATTTATCTTGCCATGTGGACTTACAAAAATCGTAACAAGAGCGTGGTGTTGCAAACCCAGCCAATTTTTCTCTATCTGATATGTGCTGGCTGCTTCATAATGGGTATTGGAATATTTGGTGCCGGTATTGACGACGAAATTGCATCGCCCGCGGTATGCAATGTTGTTTGCGCGATGTCGCCGTGGTTCTTTTGCATTGGTTGGGTTCTAGCATTCTCAGCGCTTTATGGGAAAACAGCATGTATCAATCGATTCTTTCATTATCCGGTACCCGAACTCAAGATTAAAATCCAAAAGATTGACCTGTTCGCACCTGCCCTTGGACTGATGACGATAGTGACAATTACACTGTTGGCTTGGACCGCAAGAGCTCCGCCAGACTTTAAGAGAACGATTTACGAATGGAACAGTTTTGGTCAACCTACCAAGAGCCGGGGCCTTTGCGCTTATGATGGCGCAGTCCCATATGCAATCGCCATCGGCTTTGTTTTTTTGATCAGCGTCGAAATTGCCATCAGACGAGCGTACGAAGCACGAAAAGTGGCTGTTGAATTCGCAGAAACAGAGTACATTGTCCTGACACTGGTCACAATCTGTGGTATTGCCATGTTTTTTATCCTCCTTTGGTTCCTTCTGGATCATGACCCGGCGGCTCGCTTTGTTGTGATTGCAGCCCTAATATTTCTGGTCAGCATGTCAATGCTACTTCTCATCTTCATACCGAAAATTCGCTTCAAGACGCAAGTCAAGCGACAAACGAAGGAAAATACTGCATTTGGAGGTTCTGAGGGACGAATCAATATGCAGCACGGGGGTGCCAATGTGGCTATCACGGGCTTGGATTTTTCAACAAATAATGGCCAATCGACCATTGATGATGATCCTGATGCGGCAGAACCAACCAAACGAGAATCGGCGGGCATGATTGTTTTGGCACATCCAAAGGAAGTAGACATGCTGAAAGGGGAATTCAAAAGTCTAAAGAAAGAGTATGACGAGCTCAGAAGAAACAAGAGTAACAGACCAGCAACAAAATCAGAGCGAAGCTTGGATAGCAATAAGTCGGAGTAGGGGCTAGTGGTGGGCTAGAAGATTGTGAAACAAGCAAGGGGTATGTGTCTATCAGACAGTGAATGTAGAATGTTTAACTAGAATACATTATTTTTTATGACATAACCTTACTGAAGCCAGTTTTGTTGGACATTGTATCAATGGGTTGGCCCCAAACGCTCGACAGTACTCGTACGAACTATCCTTCCGATACCGATACCCGTAGCTAGAGTGACGTTACGTTACAAATTGAGAATCATCTTCGACCGGATAATTAGGTTGAAGCGCCTTTGTTCGGCGGCGATTGCAGCGAATCACTGACATTGTTTTCTTATTGTTCGTATTCGAAGGATTTATCAAAATATTTAACGACGAAAGCACAAAATCAACTTCCATATGGATCAGAAGCTCTCCGCGAAACCGGCAGAAGCCCCCCAAAATGGGTCGTTTGCGTTTGTTCCGCGATTTACACTCTCAAATCAGAAACGATTGAAAGCGGGTTCTTGATCATACCCAGCCTTCA